ATATATATATATGTACATATACACAATATTATAATTATGTTTTGTACACACAAAAGAAACAAAGACTAAAGCTAAATGTTTGCCTGCGTGAAACTTTCGCGCTACAGCTTGGTGTTACTTTCCAGCAATCGCTGGTCCTTGGCAACACTTCTCATTATCCAGTGAACCCCAGCCTGATGATCGGCGACTACGTGACTCCTGGGAACGGCATATCGCCACAAGCGTATCGGCAATGATCTATGGCAAGATCATTCCTCGTTGAATATTCTCGCAAAGTAAAACAGTTACAGAGCGAGCGTAATAGCTGTAGCAGTATTGGCGACACCGGCAACAACAGTAAGCAAAGCCGCAAACTGGTATTTAGCTCCCCAGCCAGTAAGCTTCGACTCTCGTCCGCCGTACGAATCTTAAGTACCGTCGACTTGGCCAGCTTCAGTTCGGATTTGAGTCACAGCGACGTTGTTTATTCAAACAAAAGTAACACGTTCGACTCTGGGTTTGCGTTCGACTGGAATCAGGCAAGAAATAATATGTATCAGTGGAAGGCACGTTGGAAAAGATTGCGAGCCGTCCTCTCGTAGTTGTCATTAGTCTCGTGCGATTAACTTTTCATTTAGTCATCCTTCAGAAAGAAAAGGAAAAAAAGGATGATCTTCCAGATCGACGTGCATGCTTGCCAAATATACCTATGAGAATATGATATTTTTTAATGACAATATATATACAGTCGGCGTTGTAGTATAGGCATCACTATTTTACGAGGTCTTAACACGAATCTGTGTGCGAAACGATGATTTATTACGTAAGAAGGAACCGAGAACGATCATATTGTGACTTGTTTCATTTTAATTCGGTGAACTGAAATATTTTAGAATCGACTGTATTTTCTCTCTCTCTCTCTCCCTCTCCTCACTCTCTTTCTCTCTCTCTCTCTCTTTCTCTTTTCTCGCACGAAGACGGTGTACTTTACTGAGCTGCGAGATTGGCTTAGTTGGGTTTCGATATCAAGTGACTTTTACACGAATTTTTAGAATAGGACAGAACAATGTTTCGAACATTTTGAGAAGTGCAAAAAGCAATAATACATTAGGCATACGTTGTAGAGCACTCTGTGGCATTACCTGTTAATCGGATCGTCTCCGTGTTTTTTTTTTTTATATATAATATTATTGTATTTCTTCCCTCTTTTCTTTTTTAATTTCTTTAGCATGACAATACACGAGGAAGTACAACTTTTTTACGAATATGATTGACATGGCGTATATTTCAATTTCATGTAATCCGTATCGAGATATTTTAAACTGTTCAATGAGTATTGGCATACTCATGTTTTGTAGGAAAATTGTATATATCTAAATGTGTTTGTGATAAATCATGGAATACTTCATTTAAAAACAAGGAAAAAGAGTAATGACGACGACTACTGTTGGTCAAACACGATATGACATACGAAATCACCTGAAACCTCGAGTTATGTTGCCATAGTGTGTAAGTGTAGCTACAGATTTATTACAAATGTATCGCGCGGAAGAAGGTTGTCCGAGTGGAATCTTATAATTTTATATAAGATTATCTGTAACTTATAAGATTAGCTTCACATTACACTTAATTTTCCTTTTTTTTTTTTTACATGTATTTTGTAGTCGCGAGAAATGTCTTTCGAATGATTCTCATCGCGCGAGCGTTGTTTATAAATTAAAGCAGACTCAATAGCCCCACGCATCGTCATGTGTCGGAGCTATTCGCGACGCGTTCTCGTTTTCTTTGTCCCCGTAATATGCGTAATTTAAAAGTGAGTAGCGCGTTTATATGTCGAGACACGTTTCTTTTTATGTCCTTATCGCGCGCATATATACTTTGTATCACGCGATAACAGCGGAGTAACGGAATCTTTGAAGATAGACATTTTCCGCATTGATGATTTGTACACGTAAGAAGTGATGCTTGGAAACTTATCCATGTTCCCTGTACTCATAATAATGTGATGAAGTAAAAAAAAGGAAATATACGGCCATAATGACTTTTCATCGTCTTTAACCCTTTCCACTCATGGATTGTGATACGACGTAGTTGTAGAATTCGGCATCTGCCCAGACAGATTGTAAGTACGAAAGAAGTACGAAAAAACTAGTAGCAGTTGCGTTGATATCGCACCGAAATTATGTTTGATCAAATTCACGTTAGCGATTATCGTTTGCGATCTCGTGATCTCGTTGAGTCGACGAAAATAGATTTGAGTGTAAAGGGTTAAATTGTTAAACTACTATTTTACATACAGTCTCTTACACACAAGGCGAACACATCCTCGGATGTGTCTCGTAACACGGCGATATCCACGTCGCGTTAAGACTTTTTTTTTTATTCCGGCAAATAGATGTGAGAGTTGTGGCATGGAATTAATTGTATATACACATGTATTCTCTCGAATCACATTTCTATGTATCGTTTAAGTACGCAGCAGCCAGATCTCGGGAGGAGAATCTAGAAGTCTAATTAGTTCCTAAGGAAGTTACACGCAACATTTTATTTGCTATCTGCACATGCTTGCCATCCGATCATGCCTCGTGATTACTTCATCGCCGGTGAATAATGCATAACGATTATTTCTGCAGCAACTTATGCGCGATGTTCCTTTCCTTCTGTTCCTCGAAAAAAGGAAACGAAAACCCGAAAAAGAGATTTCGAGAAGCTCCTCGATGCGAGACGCGAGAATCGTACGCGCGGATACACTTGAGCGCGCAATGCACTAATTATACTTGTAATCAAAGCTAGGTAGTTTGTACTTACCCACGAGAACATTGGTAAATTGCGTGAATACTTGCGAGGAACGCGTGAGCGCGGCATTGCGACAACTTTTCTCGATGAAGTGTGTCTAGAAAGTCAGAGAAGAGGGAGGAATCGTATCGCTTGTTAATGCGCGCATTTGAAACAAACCAATCTCGTGACAGGCATTCCACAAGTGCTACGAATATTGCATGATTTGTTGTAATAATTAATATAAGGACATTCGCTTCTGTCGTTTCTTTGGCGTCGAGAGCAACATCTAATGGGAATATAGCTTTCCTTACATCGGTCCTTCCATCTCTCGCATATCACACTGAACGTCGGGAATTCAACGGCAATATTAAGACTGGGAGAACACGGAAAAATATAAATAGTAACGATTAAACAGTAAGCAAATTGTCACAGTCGATGATTCTTCTTTGATCCAAGAAATTCGACACAACCGATTAGTCAATCTTCTTACTACTTAAGTTTTACCGCTTACGTTTTTCTGCGTTTTTCTATCCGCTTGCACTGCAAATCCAAGTGTGTTATTTTGACCGAATCTCATTTTACACATTTCTTGCAGTTTTTAAGTCGTTTGACATATTAAAACTATCAAATTCTAACAGTAAGAAACGTGTAGGAAGAGCTTCAATCAGATTACAACACGTTTACGCGTTAAAAAATAACACACTTGGATTCGCGACGTAAGGACGACAGCGGGATGATATTTGTTATCCGCTACGTTTCCAGATATTGCTCTTGTTGCCATGTGAGTGTGTGCGTTTTTCCTTTTGTACTGTTTAGAATATCGAATATATAAGACTGGTAAGCCGCTCCGACAAACATACACGCCCGTACATATCTTATCCCAGTTGCGTCTGCCGTGGTTTGTTATCCCGTCCTCATGTCGCGTGTTCTCTTTCGAGATGTCGTACTGTTTTGCACAATTGGTACACATCAAATCCCATTGAGGCGTGTATTGTCTCTTCTGAGACAAATGATCTATTATCCATTTCAATTAGACTGCTAGAACGTTTGATCGATTTCCAAACTGGGGTACACTTCGTTAGTTAGCTTTCCCTCGTGTGTGTTTACGGGCGGTATGTTCGAGTATATTATTAATAGTCCAGCAGCGTTACATAGAAATCTGTGCGTTTCAACGACTGAAAGCTATATAAGAACTATCTATATAAGAAACTCAGGTAGCTTACGCGAGTTCGAAGGAGATGCCTTTACTGCACCAAGTGTGTTTAGGTTCGATTACAAGTTCGTTTTCTTGTTCGCCCGCGAGAAGTTTGCTCGATTCGGCATATACAGATACACAGGTTCTCGTTTGCGGTCCGTGTCCCAGTCAAGCATAAGAATGCTTTTACCAAAACATTGTATAATCGCATAAAATCAGAATCATACAAATATAATCTATAGTGTAACTGTGTAACAAAACTGAGAGACCAGTCATACTTAAGATAAGTTTCTTATTGATCGTTTCTTCTGTCACATCCGCGAGACTTTCCGTCACTCGACGTGGTCATTTTGAGACGTTGTTGGTGACATGCTCTAATACTCGGTTAAATAATTTTCCGTCTCAAATTTTAACGTGTAGCGCGTTCTCGGTGCGTTCGAATGATTTTAGTTAAGACGCGTTAAAGAGACAAGTGTGTGTCCAGTTTTGTTTCGCGTATCAGCTGATCTTCGTACAAATTTCAAATGGATTATTTTTCAGAATTTTGTGTGAACATATGTAGAATTTTGTGAACTGTTCCTGTCATGCATTTACAAAAACGAAACGTTACGCGAGCGAAAGGGGAAGGGTTGACACTACTGAAACTGTACTTAGTGATAACAAAATTATAGACAAGCAATAACACATTGTTCTAGACGTTATATATTTAATACGTTGTATTCATTGTAAATACAACAATTTCTGCAGCGACACTATTCTCTTGACTTGCAAGATATTCATTTTCGTATGTTTCGTGTAGACAATCTTGAGATAACGTTTGGTTTAACACAAACGAGCAAATGGTCACACTTATGTCTGTTCGCTGGCAATTTTAATTAATTCTGATGACTTAGCGACGGATTACATGCACAAATAATTTATAATGTCTTAATTACAAGAGAATACCGGTTTTGTAAAGAAATATTAAAGTAAGACGTTCAGTTTCAGTAAACACGGCTGCGCTGAGTAATAGCAAATAATTACGGGGATCTTTTTAAGTATAGACTCGCGACAAGTTGTCTGATCCTTGGAGAATCCGTAACATGCCGCGCGCGTTTGGCGACCTCTGGAATTGAAATCTTTTTCCTCTTCATCTGGAGAGCCCCGTTTTTTAATCAAGGTATTTCAACGAATTGTGTCTAGCGTGTACATGTATTTTATGTGATCATTAAAACCTTTTTGCAATGAAGGTCTGTAATGGAAGTAATTATTTCACGATTAAAGGTGAGCAAGCAGAAAGAAGAGACTCAGAAGGCTTCGAAGGAACAATTTAATGCATATGAAATTCGATATATACAATATACTACACGATTGATCGATTTTCTGTGTAACATCATAACGTGTGTGCGTAGGAACTGTTTCAATTTTTTTTGCAATTGTACACGAATATACTTGTTGAAACATAAGAAAGTATATGTTAAAATTATACGTATGTTTAACGCATATAATAAATACTCGGATCGCGTATACGCATATACGTAACAACAGTTCTCCCCATCAAAACTCACGGTATGCCATACAATTATTTCGAGAACGAACGACGTTGCGTAACGACCGTCTCGCTTTGAAATGATTATCATGTTGAGCGTTTCTGCGTGAGAAAAAAAAAGTGTGCGCGCGATATCCAGTATATGGTTCTCCATTTTAAAAGATATCTTCTTATTGACACGTTTTCGGAACTTAGTCTACGTTCCGTTCCAGTTGAACATAACATGAGCGATCATCAGATAAATCATTATCGTCAGAGTACTCGTTATCATGATAGGAAACCCTACCCTGCAACACATTAAGATGATAACACGTGTCCGAGCTCGGATTAGCGTCGTACGGAATGCACGTGAATCGCGCGGTCAGAAAACTACTGCAATTTATGCTTGATTTTGTTTTTTATGTCTGAAACGAAGAAAGCAAAAAAATCTGACTCGACAAAGTTGTTCTAAATTTCATTAACTTTCATTAAAAAAAGAAAAAAAGTTGAAATCGGTTCGTAGTTTTTTTTCGAAATTTCATCTGACCTCACTGTGCAACGACGCGTTTTCTCATTCTTGCATGGTAAGGCGCTTCGTCCCACTTACTTAAAGAACTGCATGAAGCTGAATTTGTACCCGTGTTGCTCCGCGACGCCCACGCAAACCACATTGGCGGTAGCTCCAATCAAAGTTCCATTTCCTTTAAACACCGTAATTGTTCAATCGTGTAAGCAGAACTGGCGCTTGTCGAAAGCGTTCATCGAAGAGCGCCAGTTTCCGCGGATTGCGACCTACATCGTCTCGCGTGACAGTTCACTGCAAATTCAAGTGTGTTATTTCAGCACTGAATTTCCTTTTATATCTCTACATCTCTTCTTATACCGTTTTAAATCATTTAACACGTTTAAACGTACTAAATTATTATTTACGTCTAAAGCGTGTCAAATGACATGATTTAAAACTGCAAGAAACTTGTAAAAAGAATTTTAGCTAAATCATACTCTAGTAAAGCAAAAAAGAGATTATCAATTCAATTGAAATATTTTTAAAGGGAAAACATATAAGAGACACACATAAAATCAATATTTCGAGATGTTGTAATGCTCTTTGTTTCTCTGGGATGCTTATATATTGAAAAATAGCACACTTGGATTTGCAGTGTAATGAGACAGGAAATCGAAGTTCACTATGTGCAAGAACGTGCTTCATAGCGCTTCTGTTCCGTCTTCAACGGACGTTCGTCGGATTTGCAAGATACTCCCTTACCTCCCATGCAAGCGCCAAATGCTAAGGACCACACCAAAGGTTGTAAGGGCAAGTTGAGCTCATGATTCTGCGCTAAATTCGTGGCGATCCTCACCATCATGGTGGTGAGCGGCACGTTGTCAAGGAAGGCACTCGCCGATGCCGACACCCAGAGCAGCAACAGTATGGCAACCGCCAATCGAGACTCTTCGTTGACTGACAGAACGATCGTCTCCGTCTGCTTGCCGATCCAGTCGATGAAGCCTAAACGCGAGAGACACTGTGGAACATTCGAGAAACGTTAGATCTTTTCTTCACGGAAAGAAAAGTTTGGTCGGATCTATCAAACTTTCTGGTGGTGTATACGAATAAACCAAAAATTGCGGTTGAAGTTACCACGATCGAAGAATAAGATGGTTGAACAGAATTCTGTTAACTGATACTTTCTAGTTCATATTTTTCAGCAGAAATTTGATTAATCCAATCAAACGTCTTTGTTAGATCGAGTCTCATGCGATCTTGAGAGATTCGTGTCGAGATTGACATGATTACTCCCTCGTAGACATCGACAGTTACTTCCATAAGAATAAACAGCGACGCGAAGAATACTAGGGTACTCCACTCGACACGCGCCATGAGACCGTCCAGGTCCTCACTGTCGGCTAATATCAGGAGCAGCAAGATGCCGATGAGAGCGGTCCAGCCTAGAGACAGTTTCAAATCAGGCACGCTGTGCAGGAAGAAGAGCGTCATCTCGAACATCAGCACGAACCCCGATTTCGCCAGCAACCATTTATCTCTGATAGGGTACTGCGGTTGGAGGGATAAAAATAAGAAAATTTGTCTAGAGAAGTACAGAGAGATATAACAATAGAATACAGTAATCAGGACACAGTGACTACGTTATAAAACACAGGATCGTCCAGCTCACCTTTTCCTGCAATTCGTCGAGGGTAGTCCGGTAATTCTTCAACGCCACACTGCCCGTCATTGCTTTCGATTTGAGTCGCGACAGCAGACGCTGGGCTTTCTTCAGCAACGTCTCCCTCACCACGTTTTCGTCCTTGCTATAGCTGGACAGACTAGCCGCTGCTCGTTGCCAAATAGCGATCTCGTGTCTCAATTCCTGCGACAATATTTCGATTGTAAGGGTTAAAACTATCAACGGTTAACGATCTATTTTTACCAGACCTACTAGTCAAAATGACAACTCAGACAATACAATGTACTAAAAGATGGCCTTCTTTCTTTCAGAGAAAGCGTCTTTGAGCGTCTTTGAAATACCTTTTAGTAATTTGTAATGTCTGAGAGATATTTTAAACACAAAATACGCAAGGGAAAGAATGTTTACTTGTTTTTTATAGTTTTATTCAATATCAATTAAAAATATAGAATGCAAAAATATAGAATGCTCGAACCTGCACATCCTGCGGCACGTCGAATCTCAGAACAGCTACATCTCGATAGATGAAGCGGAATTGCGCGGTGACTACGATCAGCACCAGAATCACTCCGATGCTCATGTGTAACGAGAACGTGCTGAAATTGATTCCCTGTCGCAACAATAATGATTGTACCTGTCAATCGTTAATTCGCCCGAGGACGTTACATTTCACGCTCGATCGCGATTCGGATTCGCTCTGGATCAAGTTCATTGTCGAGCACAGTGACTTCGCTGACGATACTCACAGCTTCTATAACGTCTCGATTGGAAGAGATGATGACGTTGGGCGGGTCACCGATCGGCGTTATCGCGCCCCCAATATTGGAGTAGACCACCATGGCAGTCAAGATCGGAACCGGATTCAACTCCATCACCTCGCACAGCCTGATGGTCACAGGAGTCATCAGCAACACCGTCGTCACGTTATCCAGGAACGACGAGATGAACGCGGTGAAGAAGCACAAGGTGTTAATTAACGGCCACATCTTGCCGCCGGATATCTGTAAATAGACGAGAACCAAGTGCGGTTTCTTTGTTTAAAATATAAAATTACACATAAAAAATCAATCTAACCGAATCGTGTTTTGAGTTTATAAATATCAGATCGCTAATCTGATATTCTTGAATCAAACACACGATTCGATTATATTGATCTTTCTGTTTTTAAATAACTCTATCGGAATTTTTAAGCAGGGTGGCTCGTCGTGAGCGAAATCTGATTTAAATTATTACAGCGTTCACCTTATAAGCGTAGACCGACAGCCAGTCGAATATGCCGGTCTCAGCGATGACGCCAACGAGGATCATCATGGAAAACAACAGTAGAAGAGTGTCCATGTCTATCCAAGAGACCAACTGGGCCATGGTCGGTCGCTAAAGTGCGGAAGCTAAGTTTTAAATCAATATTGCAAGATTTCGTAGAAATTATAAATATTCTTGTTTACGTGTACCTCATTCAAAACTGCCAATATCCCGACGGACATGGTGGACGCCAGCATAGCCGCCAGAGCTCTGTGCACAATCTGATGCGACGAAGTGCAGTGAAATGTATGTTAAAAAATATATAAAACGGCGAAAGTTACGACAATTACAGGAAGAAGAGACTTAAAGTGGACAAACGTCCCGCGGTATGAATTCGCGAGGGTGTAATTACCTCGAAGATGATCAAGATGTACAAGCCTACCAGTACCAAAACGGCGCATATTATACCCACGTTGCTGTTCGGTGAGGACAAGTCGTAACTTATGTAGATCGGAAGACTGGACTTTAAGTCCGTACGAAAGTTGATGGACATCACACTGTGCGATAATGTCCTACGAAAAGAAAGATAATTCCGAGTCAACGTAACGCGCGTTAGGAAAAAACGGAAATTTACACGCAGGCAACATACTCGTCGTCGACCCCTTTTATCTCGAATATCTTCTCGTGCCTTTGATCGAGGAAAACATCCATCAAATGTTCAGGCGGTACGTTCAAGGTCCACATGTCGCTCACATTCTGCAACTGATAATCGCGAAAACAACGCGACACTTAAATTCACACTTCCTTTCCTTATCTTTCTCTTATCATTTCTTCTCTTATTTTACTTCTTCTTTTCTTATTATTTATCAGACAACCATAGTAATCTTCCTTGACACGCAACTAATTTTTCCCTTCTTTCTTTGTTTTACACCTGGCTGAATTAGCCGGATTAGTTTGATCTCTAGCCGCGATTTCTTCGTCCTCAAACGTGAACACTTGCAAAATAATTTGTAAAGCAGACGCGTGTAAATTGAGCGACATAAACCCTTATGGAAATATCATACTAAGAATCATTGATAATTACTTATTTTCAGTATTAAAAATACTGGATAATAAGTAATTATCAATGATTCTTAGTATGATATTTCTATAAGGAAACACCTTGACTTCTTTTGATCCACAGTAGAAGAACCCGTCGCAGTGATTTTTTCGTGTCAAAAACTCCAGCCATATCATCAAGTGAGGCGTAGATAGATTCTGTTCGTTCTTCACTGCAGGCAACAATGAGCCTTGCACCGTCAGTTTGATCCGTTTGCCTGTGACGTGCTCGTAAACTTCGTAATCTGAAAAGTATTGTTAAGTATTGTTGTATATCTCCCGAACATTTTACTTTTCAAATTCCCTGGCAAAAATTGAAATTGAAGAGTAAATAAAGTGTAAACGAAGAGCGACGGAAGTATGAAGCGCTTACACTTCCGTCACTTTTCGTTTACACTTTATTTACTCTCCAATTTCAATTTTCGCCAGGATTGAACGACATGCAATCACATCTCGATATGACACATCTCGATGTCTTTTTTTTTTTAATCTCGTTAGAACAAAACAGAAGGATACTTATGTCTTTCTCGCTTGGAATCGAAATCTGATGCATCGTCTCAATCTTCTCGCTCTTGAACATTAATATTATCTGCAACAAAGCTTGCAATGCGATATCGGTCGGGTGTCTCGTCGCGGAATCTCTTACCGTAAATAACAGCCAACAGCAGAGTAGCGCGGTTAATTTTATGTAACGGCATGCCTTTTGCTTAGTATCCTGGATCGCTTGCGTATCTAGTCCGTTGCTTCCCTCGTTGAAGTTGTATATATTCGGAACTCTGCGAAGATATTAGATTTGTTATAGCGGTAAACCAGAGTTTTGCTCGCGTTGCTTGCACTTTTGACATCATTGGATATCGCTCATCGTGTCTGGTGTAAAAGCGTCAAAAGTACAAGCAACACAAACAAACCTCAGATTTATTATAGCGAATCTAGCTGTTCATTTTCTCAGAGCTAACCGACCCTTCCAACGTTCTAGATGGAAAATCTGGTGCGCGAATTTACCTGAGTGATACCGCGGGTTGTCTGCCAAGAGACATGTTCACAACCAGGTAGTCTTGCTTCGAATTATCCTGAGATCTGTGAACACATTGTTGTTAACGCAAGGTGTTCTCTAATTTCCTGCGCGTCTCGCCTTATTACTCACTTCTCCTCCGTAATCTGATTGACCCGGTCGTATACCCGCTGAAAACCCGCCAGGCTGGGATCCAGGCGAACCGCCTCCGGTAGTTGACTCCATACGCGCAGCACCTCTTCGGGGATTTGCCCGAATATCACGGAGCTCGTGATCGACGAGGGTGTAACTAATATGTGCGACGAGTGGAAAAATATTAGAAAATGCTTTAGGCAATTTTCTCACGCAATTTGTCTTGCGTAAGATATACCCGAGTTTAGAGTCGGATTTGAGTTTCTCAGTTGAAGCATGTGACACTATATTAATAACTGCAATTTAACTGAAAAATTCATATCTAACTTTAAGGTTCATATTAATTGCTGGAAACTTCTCTCAAATGAGACACTCAGATTTGAGTTCAGAGATGAAAATTTTTGAATCGCGATTGTACAAATATAATGTCATACATATCATATAATTCAACTGAGAAACTTGAATCTAATTCTGAGTAAAAATCCGAGTATCTTACGTGAGACAAACTTTAAATAATGACTATTAATACAAGTTTAAATTTAAATCTATCTCATTTGAGGTAAGTTTGAAGTAACGACTATTAATAGGATCCTTTAGACATGTTCTCTCTCTCTTTCTTTCTCTCTCTCTCTCTCTCTCTCTCTCTCTCTCTCTCTCTCTCTAAAGAGAGATATATTGTAAACCTATTAGATGTATGTACGAAGTAGTAGAAATTAGAGAACGATAGCAAGACTATTGTATAATCACGAAATTAATTTCATTACGATGACTACAAAACTATATTTATATCGTGAACGAATGAATCTCAACAAGTTGAGAAAACACATAAACGATTAAATCGGCAAAATGAGCTGAAGTGCTTATGTTGTCGCGAAAGGACAAGTTTAAACGTGCGTTGTACGTTTAACGTTTTGGAGTCTGCTTACCTGGGCTGCCACGACTGTGACTACGGTGGCGAGTCTTCCTAACACAGCTCGGAGTCGGCAGGTCCGATTCATCTCCGCTCGTGTCGATTTGCGCCATTTATTTAGAGTAATTTGAGGCTTCTTGTTGTAATCCTTATGTGAATCTACCAATCTTCCAATTCGTGTTTTCCATTCACATCAAAATCGCATGTGTAGTATCGCTATAATTACGACAATACTGACGATACTGCCGATCGGAAAAACTGTGCTCGCACCTTGCGAGAGGTCAAGTACTATTTACATTTTACGCGCAGGCACTGTCATTGACAGATCACGGAAACGTGATATGTATCACTAACGTACGACAGCGGGACGTTTAAAGGAAACTTAATCATTAGCTTTATTTTTTTTTCTCATTGAAAGTAAACATCTGTGCTAAGAAAATCATTTTATTCTAGAAAAACTATAACACACACAGTCGCCTATGTGTTACATTGGTTAAAAATAATCTAAAGTTACCTCTTAAATGACATCACTGATCACAATGTGCTACACACAATCGTATAGCAATCACTCAACGATTGAATTATACAACAGCTACAACACAATATATTAAGTACTATAAACTCGTTCTACTTTTGTACAAAATTACACTCTTGTATATTTTACATTGATACTGTACAATTTGCTTGAAAAATTGTCAGAAAATTGCTTCAGACACTTACAAGAGTCTCATATATGATCTTGACTCTGTTACATAATATATATTGTGTTATTATAAGCAATCTGATGTTGTGCCATTTAAAATATCATCATACGATGTCAAGGGTCTTCAGTACTTAGACAGAATATCTCTTAAACATTCGGCAATTTCTCCTGATCATCTTGTGGATGGAGTTCATTCGTTTCCTCGTCGACGGCGTATCGCGCCTGCTGCATGGTTTGTTGCAATTCGGCGATAGCGTACTTATTCATTACGTAGTTGTAACGGCAGTAACACCAGAAAGTCATGGCAACACCCGAGAAAGAACCTAAAGCCACGTTCGTCGCCAGTTTAACGCGACTTGTGAACATGAAGGTGGCCAAGCCGGTGGCGAAGCTGCTATATATGCCGAATAACATGCTGTCCTTGAAGCATGGAATTTTCCTGATGTCTCGGCCTAACAGCATCACCGGCTTGGACTGATCGTCCAGATTTATATCTTCCGTCTCCATTTCAGATTATCCCTGTTTCCTAAAACGAAACACAAGCACTTTTTACATAACCTCCAAGGTAGATAGGTTAAGATAGGTGAGGTCTACCTAACCTCCGGAAAAACACGTGGTTTGTTCGTGTTGATCGCACTTTTCGCACTCGACCTCCTCACTCTTGTCTCTTCCAGCATCCGAACATGCGTCTGTCGTATTCTAAGTGCAAAAAGTGCGAGAAATGCAACACGAACTACGAATTGCGTAAAGTCAACCGACACTATTCCGCGCTCGAAATAATACCTGGGAAAGCTGGTAGCGTTCTCGAACAAAACTTTGGGTGGGCTTTTAATCGCCCAACCAGAGCAGTCAAGGTCGTCGTAATTCCACCTGGGATTGTGCTTCATGCTCGAGCGCGTCGCTGATCGAGGACGAGCTCGTGGAGAAACGAGTCCCCGCCAGTGATCTCTCACAGAGCTCACGTCGGCCGAAGGCGCGTTACGAATTTCGCGCGCGAGCGCCGTCACGTGTGCGGCGGATTCGGCGCACTTCGGCTCGCGCGCTCATTGGCCGCCAGTGCGCCGTGCGCGGCGCGTAGTGGGGCGGTGGGTGACATCAGTACGACGCATGTTCCGTGCTATCGAGTGTGCATGTCCGAAGTGACAGGTGGTGTGTGCGCTGCTGATCTCGTACGTTCCGTGCGCTGCGTTTCTGTGTGCTCGCTCTCGCAGGAGAACGCGAAGGGTCCCACGCGAGGACGTCGAGGACGCCGTCGTTACGTGATCTCCGCATCGAACCTGTGTCGCTCGTTCCCCGGCTCGCGGTGACATGCTCGCACGGTCGGTGCATCGCTGCTCGTAGGTGCCTCCAGTGTTAGTTCCTATGATGTATACCACGTATTCGCGCGACTCGCCCGGGAGATTCAACTGCAGAAGAGGTAAGCGCCCGTCTCATCTTGTTATCATCTAGTCATCTCGCGTGCTCGGTTATCCACGATCACTTGCGTGACTCGCGTATCTCGCCCGTTAATCTTTACCCGCAATTCACGTTTCGAACGACGACGTACGCTGCGTCGTCGCGCGAGATTCTCACGTGCGTTCCTCGTGGGTGGAGTTTACGAAACTCTTGCTCTACACGGCCCGATCGTTGGACCTGGCCGTTCCGTCTAACCGTGACATCATCTCGTAAATAAACAAATCCTATTGTACGTCGGGGATATTTAACGGCGTCACGTTACTGAGGTTCTTCGTGAACGACCGCGTCTAACGCGCGCTGTACTGAAAGGATAGTGATTGATAGCATGTGTGGAGATGAGATGTGCATTGATTAGCGTCGTTGTCGTCACCGTCGCGCGATGTTCCTCCGTAGCGCCGGTTTCGATTAAGGGAAACGTTGGCTCGGATGTGTCACGAAGCTATCGTACAGCATTTCTGCCGTCAGGATGCTTTATCAGGTGTCTTTCCTCGCGACGGCTAATAATTTCCCCGTCGAACGCACCCGAACGATGGACGAGGCGACGAGTTCGGAAATGCAGTCGCATGAAAGTGCACGACTTTACTTTTTTCCAGTGTATTCGAGATTACTCTCCGGCAGGCCAGGCATAAAACCACAGGGATTTTCGTTTCTGTGAGTAAGGAATACGCGGAATTACGGTAATGCCATTTAGGGGCAAGGAGCGCGCGTGTACTTTCGAAGGGAAAAGGGTGCATGCACTTGCTATTTCTCGCGGGCAATCTCGTGCGCTATTAACCACGTATCTTTCTCTTTCTATCTTTCCTTCTTCCTCTCTCTCTTTGTCTCTCGTACTCTCAATTTCCGCAGAAAATCTCACTCTATGCGCGCTGAAATGGGCAATTTCCACGGAAGAATCCGACAGAGAAAAATTCGCGAGAGCAGCAATCCATTTCAGACATCGAGCGATTTTAACGAAATCGGTGTATACTCGATGATTTCCCAAAATTCAATTCAAACAATCGCCGTTCCATTTAATAGACTATCTAAGGTCTTAGTGGTTTTTTGTTTCACAAAAAAGATTTTTAAAAATAAAAATTAAAAGTAAAGAAATAAAATGAAAAATTATATTTAAAGTTAAAAATTAAATTTCGTTGTCAACTATTTTTCTTTTTTTTTTTTTTAGACTTGGACGACACGATTCCGATTGCGACGATTGTTTTGTTCGGTAAAGCGAGAAAAACTATGCGACGCGTTACATCGCATTTGACTGATTAGAGAATCGAGCACACCTGCGAAGGTGCAACAGCGTATCTGGCACTTCGCGGTGCCGCGCTTTGCTCGCTAACGGTAAGCGGAGATTTCGCACGACTGCCACTGCAAGAAAGGTCAAATTCCCTGCATTTATGGCGCGGCGCGAGAGAAGCACCGCTCGACACGAACACAATCACCTGTCCGTTGTGAATCAGCTCTGGATCTCATATTAGAACGGCCGACTCGCGGAGATAACACTCCTCGCGGGCTGAAAGCGAGCGACGAAACGCAGGATAGTCCGTCATTTCCGGAGTATATTTTGCGTTCAATCTCACGTCTCGCCACACCTCGATATCCGCACATTACGACTTTCTAAAAGCTAGCTGCCACGCAAGAATAACATCTCATCCTCTTATGTACGCAGAATCCTCTTATATACGGTTTCAGAAAAATTTCTCTAAAGCCAAAAGGAAAATAACACCCAAATCAAAAGAATTGCAAGGCGCTATTCCTTGTAATCTCATGTTCTAAGCGAAACCTCTGACGCTTTGACTACACAAGAGTGTTCCTCTTCTAATGAGGAGGAATAATATTGTGCTTACAAAAGATTTATGCGCGCGCGTGTTAATTGTTTATTCTATTTAAATAAAACGATCTACATTTAAGTAAATGTGTCATTATAGTACTTACAGAAGGAATATTTTTTATTTTGTAGAAATGTTTACTCTTTCAGTGTATATAAGAGGATTTCGTCAAGAATGAGATTCCTTTTTTTTTTATTATCTTTCGTTGAATGTAAACAAGTTTGTGATCGTGTACTTACGTCATAATTTCAATGATCCATCGATTGAACTTGGACTCTCGTGAATCATCATGGAATCTTGTTTAAGCGATTCTGACGATTAATTGTCGATTTCTTTAATTGGAATTCGAAAGTCAGCATTAAGCTTTCTCTGAATTTTTTTGAAAGTTTTTCCGGGGCCCAATGGCTTTTCGTTTCTTTCTTCTTAATGCCTCTCTACATGATAAATTGGGCCAGTGCCATTTATCGTCCTATATCTGAAGATCGTAGTCGGTCGTCACCTTTCACTATCTATGCGACGCATCTAGAATCAAATTCCTCGGGTACTCCTTTCACACGTGTTTTTCTTCTGTTATCTTCGCCGAGCCGTTTATTTCAAAAAGACTTATCGCAGGATGTCGGATGAATTACACCGCGCACAAATAACAAGTCACAAGAGAGATACTTTTATTAATTCGACAACGCCATTGCGGGCATTCGATATATTTTGTAACGGTATTCGCTATATACTTGTCTCGCGGTAGATTGGATGTACGAGTGAGCGATTACTATCGCGTTTCACATTCAAGGATCAATTATCCATCTCCGTTCGATCCGAATTACGAGGGAGGGACGAGAAGGCAACGAGAATCGGTACTTTAAATTCTACGTTCCATTTTCCGGGATTAACGATATCTCTTTCGACATTCATATGAGAGAAAGAAATAATTGAAAAATAAATAATATTTATTCAGTGGGTATTGATAACATATCCATCGAAACTCTTTCGTTTAAATAAAATAAATCGCTTTTTCATGAGAAGCAACGGTTTTAGGAAAATACGTATTTTGCCGTTTAAAAGAAATTGTTTCGCAATATAAAAATATCGGCACAAGCAAATATGTCATCAGTATATACAGAGTAAAATTACCTTAAGATCAACAAATATTTTTTTGATGGGTGCCATTAACATATTTACTTAAATCTAAATTCTCTTTATTTAAATCAAATATTATTTACCTGATTAAGTAATAAAGAGAATTTAAATTTAAGTAAATATGTTAATGGCACCCATTAAAAAAATATTTGTTCATTTTAAAATAATTTTTCCCTCTGTACACTGATGACATATTTGCTTGTGCCGATACACATATTTTTGCATTGCGAAACAATTTCTTTTAAACGGCAAAATATGTTTTTTTTGCTAAAACCGTTGCTTCTCATGAAAAAGCGATTTATTCTATTTAAACGAAAGAATTTATGTGTGTATATGTCTAGCCATTACCTAGCCGTGTGTGTGACTTCTAATCGAGAGTTACTAAAAATTTTCGACCTAACGCATTCGTTTCTAGATAGTCAAGGGTTGGGAAGGGATTATTCGAAGAAACGATGCCAAGCAGCTGTGACACTTGAACAGCTTAATGTTTTGTTTTGCGTTTATAATTGCGGTTGTCCGCTCACGTGTTACGCGTAATCGTGACATTATTAGTGGCAATATAATCATAAAATGAATAATGATAAAAACTACTATGCTCGCTATCTTACAGCTCTTGAAAAGGTACAATCTAAATGTAAATACTGTAAATATTCTTCACGCACACACACAAAGAGACGGCATAACTTCTACTTGAGAAATATAGTAAATATACTTTTACGTTAACACTGCATATTATTTATTGTTTAATCTGTAAGTAATATCGTGTCGTAATTAAATATTAAATATAGATTAATAGGACTAATCGTTGCTGTTCTTTCGAATGATCAATCGATCATGACTCTTGACTATTTAGAAACGAATGCGTTAGGTCGAAAATTTTTATTAAATCTCGATTATAGGACACATACCCATGAATAGAGAATGACTAGGCATATACGCAATCCTTTGTACCCATCGAATAAATACCTTTTATTTTTTGGATATTTCTTTCTCAACGTACAGATCGTATTGTACTTCAGGCGACTGACACTGTCACACTGAGAGAAAAATATAGTTGCCTTTGGCGTCAGCTATACACTTTTGTGATTTTAACCACAAAAATAATTAGAAGAACTATTGTTTTAGTAAGTGTTATTAAAAAGATGGTTCTTCTAATTATTTTTCTGGTTAAAATCACAAAAAATATGACGCCGAAAGCAACTATATTTTTCTCTCAGTGCAGGAGGAAAACATTAGAAAACCGAGTTTTCCATTTCAAATATATTCTGGTATACTTTCCGTACTAATTAAAGAGTGAGAATAAGGCAAACCCTATGACGGAGCGCTCGAGAACAACGTAGTGGTAATGGAAGTGAGGAGTACATTTGAAATTTCCCCGAGTGCGTTTCTCGAAGACACGCTGATGTTCCTTCGCGAGACACTCAGTATATCGCAATAGCGCCCCTGGCGTATCTAATGGGGACGCAAGTTCGGTTCACGACCTGTGTAGTATGCGAAGAACCGGTGCTGTAACTCGCGAAAGGTAATCATACACGGCATATAGGTACCCCAATACGCGACCGATAGCTTCG